TCGTAATGTTAACTGTTTTTCCATCCTGGATAGAGGCTTTCTACGTCATATGACATTAGGCTCCGCCCACGACTGCGGCATTGACCCGTGCCCATCAGCGACCTCTGTACAAACGACACCCCTGCCGTCTGTGAAGGACTATGAATTTCGCTGACGCTTCACGTGCTATGAGTCAATTGCAGCAGACGGTCAAGTAAATGTTAGGCTCTTGTTGACTCTTGTATATAGGACCAAGAGGACCATCACTCCTCAACCTACTACTCAGTCGTGCTTCGAACAAACGTTAACGATTCCTAACAAATACGATTTTCGATGTAGGGTATCTGTTTGAAATACGAGCGAGCCGTATGATGTGAAGCTCAGGCAATTAACTTATTATTGCGTTGTTCGATGGTTGCATAGCGATGTACAAATCGGCAGCTACTTGGTGACATCCGACATCCCATTATCGCATTATCTGCAACGCCATAGGCTTTAAATACAGGTGAATATTTCCTAACCTTATGTCAGTTATATGCCATCTGCCCGTCATATGCAGCTTATAAAAAAAAATATATATCAGCGAACATATCAGCATTGTAGAAGCAATGCGCATTGAGCATTTATGACTCCTTAGTCATCATGTCGCTCTCTGGGCACTGTCAGCCAAGAAGCTACGCACAACTCCGCCGGCTTTCGGCACCGCTCGACCGTCCCCGCTCCCCGCCACAGCGAGAGTGACCGCGCGCCGGCCCGAAACCGCCGCAGGCCAAGATCACAGAGGCGGGGCTTAGCTGTGACGTCATAACGTATCACAGACTGACTGGTGATAGCCTCTACACACCGGATGAAAATCTTGCTCGAAATTTAACATTACGAGTCAATGACAAGTGCCTGAAATATTGAAATGGCGATAAAATATCTAAATTGTAAAAGTTTCGGCCTGTCTTGAAACGGCCATGTCCTGAGCTTGGTTGAAATTCCTTCACGCATTTAAAAGTAATCGCGAAAAATTAGGGTCTCAAGGGGTCTGGCGTTAACAGTAGGTAGGCATGGTTCCACGAACACAGGAATCAGTATCTAATCTATTTTATACGTAAAGCGTATTAAAGACATATTTTAGGCCAGAGAGTTGTGTGCACACACCCAATAACGCCTAAATGGCTTTCATACTTTTTTGAAATTTATTTATTTCCTTTCTGCAAAATAAAAAATAACCGTTACAGACTCCGGTGATCTATGATGATATGCTTCATACTCGAATTTCGGAGACACCCAAAACTCTTTCTAGGACTGCTGTGAGCTCGGCTTAAAAGTCATTAATTAAAAAGCGTTTGTATACAATATACATGCAGGGACCTGGGACGCTCAGCATCTATGCACCATCCGCCCACGGGGCAGAGGATCCAGGTGCCCGCCCAGGGGAAGAGCAATGGCCGTCATGTTATCGGAGACAGGGTGGTGGCGAGCCGGGGCTCGGAGACCGTATCAGGGGCGGAGGGCGGCCAGCAGCCTTGCCGGCCGCCGGAAATGCCCTATCCCAGCCGGGTCGGCGAGCCCTGACCCGCTGACGGGCTGGGACAGGGGGCGCGCGACCGGGGGAGGCTGCGCCGGTCACGAGTCGCCCGGCGACCCCCGTCCGATCCGATATCAGATAGCCCCTCGGGCGGGCCACTTCCTTTTTGCCCTGTCAGTGCGCCTGTCAGTTTGTCCGACTGGCATTCCTGACACGGTCAGGCCGAGACGTCGGCACATTTTTGTTCCTGGACGACGTAGTACCCGGAGGACGGCCACCCAGAGGCGGAGTGAGACCCAGGAAGGCCACAAGGTCCTCGCGGCTCACGGCAGAGCTCCCTAAGCCCCCCAGCACACCGGCTCATTCATAGAGACGAGGTGTGATAAGAATCGGTTGTTTCATAGAACCTCGTGCCTTCCGCCAGTGATCAGTCCGGCGATTTTCGGTTCAACAAGGCGTGCATGGCCACGCAACATTGATCTCTCGTGCGAGCAGCTGCCGGATAATACCCCAGGTGTGAGTTCCAGGGCGAGATGGAGGCGGAAGCGCTCAGAAGTTAGGTCGTGACCGGAGATGTAGCTAAGGCCGGTGTGCCGGCCGCGCCGCGAGGAATGATCGCTCGTAATGGAGGGTCGTACGGCAATCTGGCGAGCCATCACGTGCTAATCGTCTAGTGCCGGGGCGGGGGAGGGGGCGTGCAGTGTTGGAGGGGGGAGTCGGCAGAGTTTCTAGCAGCTAACACGCTCCTGCGTGAGCGGTGCCTGTCACTGGACTTAGCAGCTTGACTCGGTCACTGCACCCGGTCACTGGCGACCTTCACACTCCGTTGCTTTGTGGGACAAGACGCGGAAGTCAGTAGTGGATAAGCGCCGCAGTCTCTGGAGTTATTTTCATCATAAAATGAAAAAGCTTTTTGTCTCTTGGCTTTGGCGTTACGGGACACGGGACGGGACAAATTTCACGAAGCAGAAGGCTGGATTTTAAGTACACGCTTCGTTAGAAATATTTTCACGTTCTACATTGGTGAGTGGAAATTGACAGATTTCATAGAGAATTTTAGATCAATAGACTAATAATCGTAGTTTAAAAAGTTAGAGCAAAACATTTGTTTATTGATAGTTTCGAGCACAGCTCTTAATCAGAATATCAAGTGAAAATGCCGCGATAAAAATCCAACCTTTGAGCATAAATCATTGCAAATTTATTTTCCGCCAAACATTTTTGCGCGCCAATATTCGAGAAATTAGTTACGTCATGGAAAACGAAGACATCGTAATTTGTCATCGTAAAACACCTACAATTTAGTTATACATAAAAACGCCTCAGTATTAATTTTTCATTGTTTGCCTCTATTTGTTATTTTTAGATCGTCTCCCATTTTTAAAAGCATGCACTCGCCCATAAGTAGGCATGAAAAGATCCAGCATTATCAGGAACGATGTGTTTGTGTGTGGACTGCAACACTCGGCCGCCTGTCCATTCCATATCCACCACTTGTCACGCCTGTCAAAAAGCTGCATTCCGTTAGGCTGCACTTCCCTCACCAGTTACCTGGACGCACGTGAGTGACGTTCTACATTGCAATCTTGTGTTCATCGCCGGTCTCGATACGAGACGAACACTGTCGGGCTGTCAACACCCGCAATCATAACAGTGTCTGGCACGGTGACAACCGCTGTCACCGCGGCCTGCCTGTGGCCAGCGCGCCTCGCGCACCGTGCCCTCTGAGTGCCGTACCGAGACCTGACGGTAAATGTTACATAACCATTGTCCGCCACTCATCGGTGGGCACCCAGAGAGATGGACGCCATTTGGGGAGCAGTTCTGTGACCGATGCATCAGTGTGTTTGGAGGCCGATTCATCATGTGGTGTGGGCCGTTGTCGGGACCCGCGGACCCGGACCCGGCTGTGGCGAAACGCTGGAACAGGGCGGCCGCCGCGCAGCCCCGCGCGCCCCGCATGGAGTCGACGATTGCCTCATGGCTTGTCCTCTCCTCGCCAGCTCATTTCGTATCGGAATGAAAGCAGCCGTGTGAATGTATGCCACAATCACCTCTGGTCGACTTTTGGAATAGCTGATAACGCTATACAGCCGAGGATGTTTTGATATTTGGACAAAGGCCGACCACCTCCTTAGATCGTAACCAAGACGTAGTCGTCAACAGTTATGAGTTCGCGGTGCTAAAGGCACGTTAGAATGAATAAGCATTAATGACAGCAATCAGTGCCTAATGGAGAGTTTCATTGCACAATACTCCTGACAGTGATGAGCTTTGAAGTACTACATGCATGTAGGACGTATACGTTCTACAGGTATATGTAGATACAGATATGCATTGATATCATATATGTATATAGATATGCACGCGATAACTAATGGAAGCTGGGCAAAACAGCATAATATATTTTTGATTTCTCATAATCGCTTTGAGCTATGAGTTAACGCTCATATGGGTAGCTGCAATAGTGCAATATCCTTCGAAATATCAACAAAACGCGGTATGCTTGATATCGGCAACGCAACATGTTTTATGTCTAAACACTTAACAGGCGTAGCTGTGGTACGCCCAGGGTATTCCCAAAACGCATCCCATGCCCGTTTCATTCCACAGCTACAACACCATATGGAGGAAAATGTTCGCCGACACCGGCCAGTCATGTCAAGAGAGATCCGGGGCACGTGCTTAAGGAACGATGTCGCTGACAACAAAAACAACGGAAGGTAAAACGGACAGCAAGCTACACGCGGATCAAAATAAAAGTAGGTACATGAACGTGTTTTCCTTTAGTTTTTCTTCGTCACAGTTTTATTTCAGCATGCAACATTATGATTTATGTTTAAAAGCATTAAAATATTTGAGCACACTGATGTTGTGATATGTAAGATAACAATAACATAACTTTTCGGAAATGGGGAGCACTGGCTCTTTCGCCTAGCTGACAAACGGCTGAGAGTGATTTCCCCCCGTTTCATACGACTGAAAGTTAATGGTCTGTAATGTTCTACGTCGGGTTTAAGCTGCCAAAAAACGAGCCGGACCGGTGGCCCATCGAATGGCCGTGGTTTAATGTGGCGGCGCTAGCCGAACCGTTATGTCCGAGATCAGTTACTGCACGATCGCAAATGACAACACGTACCCCACAAAGACACCGCGGCTGGGGCACGGCCAGGTACCGCTCCAAACGGATGTAAGAGCGCTTAGGTATGTGGTTGTGTGTGACCGGTGTGCTGTGATGCTCTGTGTTTCGTTCAGCTATTTTGTTTTGAATGGAGAAGAACACCGAGACCGATTCATTGAGGTCGTCCGGTAGGTATACGTTATTTGTATTCTGCTTCGTAAATAAGCCATGCAAAGATGTTTTTCGTAAATAATGGCTGATTAAAGCAATGCGGCTCAACGAACTGTCGTTTTGTGTGCGTGAGAAACAATCACTTCCTTCACCGTTACCACAATCACCGTTTACACAACATTTAAGCAACAATTAAATTAATGCGGTACTTACGTTGAAATTGGCGTCTGCGAGACTTCGTAGTAGCGCTCAATGGGACACTGGCGGATCGTTTTCCGGTACTCCTCCTCACTGAGAGTCATGAAGCCGGGCGGCAGAGCCAAGTCCTCGCCGGCGCTACTGGGCGTCACGTTAGCCCTCTCCAGCATAGTCACAGTGGGACAGTTCGAGTGCAGGTCACACATCTTATCTCTCTACCCGCCGGGGTGTGGGACAGCACGGGACACTGGTGAGCGACCTGAGGGCACGCCGTCGCCTTGGAGTCTTCCTGTTGGACACTCGGACCGGCCACCGGCGCACCCAGCGCTCGCCCCAACGGGACTGACCGGCCGGCTGCAGACGCTCAGACACCGCGCCGTGACGGGCGGGACGGGTCGGGGCGCGCCACACTGCTGACATCTAGCGGTGAAAATATCGGAGGGTCGGGGAACGCGGGCGGCGGCCGACCTTGGTCTGATAGGGCACGCACGTACTTTTACGGTTTGATATCAGTCAGATGGCGTGCAGAGGGTGCAGGTCGTTGAACCGATCAAGCTGAGCTGTCCTTCCCCGGTAGGACTGGACTGCGTAACTCGGATGGGCTGCGGAATATGGGCAGGTTGAATGCCTGTAGACAAGCTCGCCGGCTAGCAGAAATGGATAGAACACATTAGAGTGGTTAGATGAGGACACTAAAAACATAATGCTGCCGTGCTTCTGCCCACAGAAGAATGTATGAGATCATGCCTCTTCTTTGTTTTCCTAAAATCAAACGTCACACATTCAAGGCATGGCAGGACTGCCCTTTCAAAGGAACTGTTCTTTCCAAAAACGACCATGAGCTTAAGCTTAGTATAACTTCGAAAGCAAACGCAAGGATTGAATCAGGTCGCACACGACGTCTTGGCCTCTAACTGAGGCCAAATGAAACTAACCTCGACTCCTTTTGGAAAATTATTCCCCCACCCAAAACAAAACGCTGTCGGACTGGCAAAAAAAACATTTTGTTGCAAGAAAATGTTCTTTTTTTCAAAACAAAACGCTGTCGGACTGGCAAAAAAAACATTTTCTTGCAAGAAAATGTTTTTTTTGCCAGTCCGACAGCGTTTTGTTTTGGGTGGGGGAATAATTTTCCAGGGTTAGTCGAGGTTAGTTTCATTTGGCCTCAGTTAGAGGCCAAGACGTCGTGTGCGACCTGATTCAATCCTTGCGTTTGCTTTCGAAGTTATTCGAAACTTAAGCTCATGGCCGTTTTGTATGGCTGTTAGCCTGACCCGAGATCAAATGTGTTCACAAAGCTAGAACCATGCTTCAAACCATGCTTCAAATCTGGCTGCCTCGAGACACCGTTTGTATATAGGAGAAAAACTACATTTCTTTATCATTCCGACCTCCTAGACTGGGCGGAAAATTAACGCACGTACAGACTCACAGGGGCAATTCGTCTCACAGTCAGTGCTATCACGGCAGCCAGGGCCTTATGAGACGAAAACCCGGAAACGTCGCCATTCGCCGCCCCCCCCCCCCTGTCACATTACGGGGTAGGCCTCCAGCACCGCCTCTGTGCCCCTGTCACATGACAGGACAGCATCGTACCCATCACCCTCCGCCGTATACGCGTGTACTGAGAGGCGCGTGGCGCGAGCGTATAGTGTCGGGCCGAATACCGCCTCAGACTGTGTCCGCTCGGCATACTGATGATGCATGGACGCGGGGGAGCTCGTCCCGCGAATTTGCACGCTCTCTGTGATGCGAAGCACACCTGCTCGCAATTCGTCATGTCACGTGAATGAGTTGGCATCACTGCTCTCGTCAGGAGGGCCATCTATCTCACAAATGTGCGGCTATTACTCTGGATAAGATCACGTTTTTATTGTCGCCGCCCGTGAGAAAGCCGACAATCAGCTGGTCCACTCTTCCTTTCAAAGGGGGCTGCTGTGGCCGCACTGAAGGGGGAAATGCTTACAGGACAATGCCGGAGTGACACAGCCCTTATCTACCAGCGTATGGCCGGCGGCACGCCCGGGAGCTCGGCGCGGCGAATCACTAGGCTCGCCGCGGTGACGAGGGGATATACTTTTTCCCACTACTTTAATGGCGTTAATAGGCTCGACTTGCTAATGCATTTAATTCATTTGTACATCAGTGGTAAATGGGATGGCGACTGACGGATCGAGCTCGTCATTGCATCAGACGATGCAATTCGCTGATAGCATTATAAGCAATTAGGTATTACCATGATAATATAGGCTTGTGGCTTTTGTGGCTTGTGTACCGCTTCATAATTATAATTATACATCTCACAATATTGGTAATTTTACTCATTGCCACATAAAGGGCAAGGCTTAAAATGCCGTTGCAAATGCACATGATGTTTGTATGAGCATTTATTGTTAGTGCGTACATGAATAAATGAAGAGTCATTGATGATGCAATGGTAGACCTCATATGGTTATCCCACGCAGAAGTCGGGCTTCAGCCGGTTAATCTATAACCCGCTTCCTGAGAGCATGGTAAAAGCCTAATGGAACAGACCTACGCATATGCGTAGCCGGTAGCGGTGTAGCGCTCCGACACACGTCTGGAGCCGAAGGGTTCGGACTCCGGACTCCGGAGTCCGGACTCCGGATTCAGGGCGTCATCCGGAGAGGAGGGTGCGGCAGTACTGGCGCGCATCTGTAACACCCTGCCTGCTCAGCCGGTGAATCAGACGATGGCGCCACCATCAACACACATCAATCATGGTATTTCGAATGTTTGCATAATTCCACTCATCACCAGTAAAGGTCACCGTCCTGCTTATTTTGGATAAGTGTTCCTTACGGTATGGTTTCTTGGGAAAGGGCAGGGTCTTAGCATACCTATTTTTTTTTTTACAATTGAATCAGTTGATCATTTCACAAACTTGTCATGCAGATTGCAGAGCGTTCCTGGTCTTCATTTTTATTTGTTTCAGCAAAGACCATTTTTTCATAACTCAGTTAGAGTGGTTGAACATTTATCATAGCTTAAACCTTTTCAGTCGTAGTAGCAGAGAAATCAAACAACTTAACCCTCGCCCTGGCAGGGGGGGGCGGGGGGGGGGGGGTCGATGCGACCCCCCCCCCTAAGGTTTTTCGAAGATAGCGTAAAAACGGCGGCGCTGCCGCCAAATTTGGCACAGCCTATGGGGCAACCTTTTTACATATGACCTGAAAATTTCAGGTCCGGGTGACCTTGGGTCAGGTCACCAGGTTAGAAAAACCGGTACAAGGTCATGGTCAAATTTCAATTTTCTTTTTGCACCTGTCCAACTCACAGTTTTGGACTGATTTCCTTCAAACTTTCAGGATGTGCTAAGTTCACCGAGTTGTATAACATATAGTTCGGTTTTTTTTTAGGTCACTGACCTGAGGTCAGTTAGAGGTCATTACGTCGTAGTGTTAAGCCTATGGGAAAATACTAAATTCCGAAAATACTGGAGATATCTACTTCTTTCTATCACTTTTGTGCTTTGAATCCATAGTAATTAACAGCAGGTCACTTGGTGCTTCGTTGTTTGGTGTACTTATCCATGGGTCAGGTCAAATGAGGTCAACTGAGGTCAAATGACGTTTTTGCCAATAACTTGGCACATAATGACGCTAGAGCTTAAAAAATGGTATCATTGTGTTCTTGGTGATCAGCCGAATCGAATAATATGCGATATGATGCAATTTGGTTAACTTGAACTTAATTTATTATTTTAAGTTTACTTAAAATTTAGTAAAAACTTTAAGTACACTTAAGCAAGCTAAAAAGTATATCATTCGACGCGCCTTGACGTGCTGAGTTCACTGGTGCTTTTCTTTTTGCTCTATCTTAATTAGATCAAAAGTTATAAGCGAAAAACGTTTGACCTGTTTTTAGCGAAATTTTTACATTTATACCCCCCAAAACCCCCCTAAATATTGACCTAGAGCAACCAAATTTGCACAGGGGCGAGAACTCTAGGGGGCCCACCTACCTACCAAATTTGGTGTTTCTAGGTGCCATAGGAGCCAATCGCGAGGGGGGGGAGGTCGCATCGACCCCCCCCCCTGCCAGGCCGTGTTATGAAAAAAGCCCTGCCAGAGCGAGGGTTAAAGAGCGAATCATGATTCTGCAAAGATAGTTTATACCTAAACGAGTTTGTCTGCAGAGATTACTTATCAATTATTCCGAGTTGCCTGGATGCAGCGGCAGCTCGGGCCGACCTGATTGCGGTCACATTGTTTGCGTCTCTGGCGTTTTGCCAGATCCGGTGCCTGGTCTGTTAGTGCATACCGCGCCGATGGCGCATCAATCAGCAGTCTCGGAGAATCGTGTGCTTATCATGCTGGACATACCTATATCCCAGTCTGGTCGGTGGCTGCAGCTCTAACCAAAACAGGAGCATCCGAGCGACGGGATTCCCATGCAATTGAGCCTCGCCCCGGGCGGCCGGTGCCTTATTTAAACCGTGAATGTTGCGCTGCACAGTCACAAGGCGCCAGGATTGGCGATGCGCATTGCGCATTGGCATTAGCACCTCCCAGAATCGGTCAATCCGAGAGAGAAAAGCAGTTTGGAGCGTCAAGACTCACTCTCGAAAAAGCTGAACAAGCGAATTGTTTGGATATGCAGCAGTGTGCAATAGCTGCTTGGCAATCGGTGTCGTTAACCTTATGATACTTGTCTGCGTGGCAACAGCTTGACATTGTGCCTAGCATGTCCTGATTGGGGAAAAGATATAATGCAATAGAGAACGTTTTTGTTGTAACGAGTTCGCTACGCGGGAACCATTCGGCACAAGTGCCTCATCACTTCTTGCATAGCTTGATATAACAATTGATGATAACATATTTATGTTGCTGTTTCTATAGACTCGTATATTATATAACATGCATCGCTCACAGCCAAATAGCCATACTTAGAACGGACTCAAAAACATGGAACGATAAATGCTTAGCATGCCCGCAAAACCGATGGATGGAAGTGAAAATCATGCTGAAACAACAAAAGGCGTTTACTCAGTGCTTAACGAGCTATTTGGAATTAAATATAATATCACACTTTGGGTGCTGTCTGGCTTGCGTTTTTGCATTGCTATCATGTAAATAATGTCAATGTGTTATGTGTATCCAAATTTGTTTATTCCAATGGGTGGCTGTCCTCCACACAATGGTAAAAGCTGTTGAGCTATAGAGCTTCACAATCTTAATGTCCTTCTCCTAGACGTTACGCACTGCTTTACGCATATGAACAAAACTTTATTCTTTTAGAGTGTATCACGGCTTGCTTTTTCGCGATAAACCTGACTTTCTGTACCTATCGCCAGTCTGTAAACTATACGAGTGTGCAATTGCCGTTACAGCGAAA